ACACACACACACACACACACACACACACACACTCCTTGTTAGTACTTAAATGTTCACACAGTAAACTTTTACTTTCTCTGATGTGATTAATACATCTTAAACATTCTTTTTGTTTTTCCCATAGTATCTAATGTGATGCTGGGCACATAGTAGTAGTTTGAGAAATGTAAAAAATACTAAGTTGATCACAGAGTTACAGATGTGATAAGAGAAATGCAATTTAAAATCAGAACAGCTAATAATATCAAGCAGTCCATGAGCAGTCCTGTATAAATGTTATCCCCTCTATGCTTATGAGGGGATAACATCTTTTTTTTTAAACAGAATTATTTATTAAATTTTGTTTCTTAATAGTTGAAATATTCAGTTTGTAAGCTAAATAATGTGATTGAATGTATAAAAGAAAACAAAATAAAATGTAAATATAAAAATACATATAAAAATTATTATTATTTTAATTTGCTATAGAGCATATGTATTCACCAGGGAGAGACAAAGAGAGAGAGAGAGAAGTAAAAATGAGAAACCAAGATGCCAAGTCTGGTGCTCAAACTGTGGCTGGCCACGTGGGAGTCCTGCACCTTAACCACCATGCCACCTGCTGGCAACTCAGTTTTACCTATGAGTATCTCTTAAAAATTCTGATCAAGGATTATTTTTGATAATCATTCTGTCGTATGTAATATATTGTTGACATATGCAATACATTGCTATTTTAAGTAATAGTTCCTTAAATATTTGACTGTAACAAAAGAAAACCAACTAGAGTGAAATAAGATGGTACATAGCACTGCCTCTCAGGAGTCTGGAGACTGCATGGGAGGCCTAGGTTCAATTCCTGAGCCAATCTCAACATGCCCACTGGCTGCACATGCCTATAATCATAGCTAACTGGAGGCTTGGGCAGGAGAATTAAGATGCAATGTGAATTTTTCAAAAATACCTTTCTTTTTTTCCCTGTCCCTTTCTTTCCCTCTCTATTTCTCTCATAAAGGGGATAATTATTGTTATTATATAAGAAGAAATAAACAGAAAATAAAATAATGTACTCATTCTTTAAGATTTTGTTTTGTCCTTACTTTGTTTTCTTAGTTCTATAATTGTCACTTTCATTTTAATTAATTAATTAATTAAGTTACAATTTACTTTAAAAAAAAATTATTTCTAGGTGTGCTCACCAGACAGAAAGTAATCCCAATGGGCTGTTGTCATGTCATAATCCTTTTCTCCTTACTTTCTCCACATAAGGATTCTATGTACACACCCACACACACCTACTGTGCTTTTCAAGCTGCGAGGTCTCCAACTTTGATTTCCTAAGCACTTACTATATACTTGGTTCCAATCAAAGCATTGATGGTACAAAGATAAGCCAGACAAACAAGAGTTCTGTCCTCATAGATCTTACATTTTTTAAAAAGAATTACTTATTATTTATTTTTTTGTCATTATTATTCTTAAATTTGACCAGAGAGACAGAAAGAGGGAAAGTGAAAAAGCAAACCACAAGGTCCAGGACTTGAACCGTGGTCGCCCATGTGGGAGTCCAGTATCTCAACCACCATGCCACCTGCTGGCCCCCATAGATCTTACATTCTAGGAAGAAACAGACCATAAATAAGTACAAAACAAAAGACGAAATTGTGTTCCAAGATGAGGTATAAGAAAAGACAAAATTAGGAGTTCTGAGAAAGGCTCTCTAACAAGTTAACATTACATCTGTGCCTAAACAACAAATAAGAACCATTCAAATATTTTGGTGTAAGAATAACATTGATAAAAAGCCAATGGGAGAAGTCATGCCTTTTGGGACCCCACTCCTTAGAAGATCTTACTTCTTCTTCCTTTTTTTTTTTTTAAGATGTTTTTGCCTTAGGGCATGTGTATGTGTGGTGGAGTGTGGGGGGCAGGGGGGGAGGGGAGACAGAGAGTGAAAGGGAAAGTGAGAAATCACTCCCCAGAGGAGACTGACCATGCCACAGTCCCTTCTCCTTCTTCATCACACATGCACATGGTGTGAATTTCAAGTCACCAGGTCTGGGACTCAAACTGCACTCAGCCATGTGGGAGTCCAGTGACTTAACCTCTACCCCATCTGCTGGCTCCACGCCCTTCAGGATTTTAATTAATCCCTTTCTCAGGGCTTCCTATCACCTTATTTCTAAAAAAGAGCAGAGACAGAAGCCATACCAACTCCTGAACTGTAATCTCTCTCTTTCCCCAGCTGTCACTTTACAAAAATTATGGCTATAAACCAATGTGCTGGGACCATGCAGTTAACACAAGCTGAGTATGAAAGAACTGCCCCTCAGGCCTAGAGCAAGGACTCGGCTGAGGAGAACTGTTTGTAAGGTCAACAGTTTTACGAGTTCTGGACCTCACCT